AACACCCCAAATTGATAACCCCCAAACTAGATTTCTGATTTGTATGGTCTAGTTGATTCGAGCTCTTAAAATTTTTGGGTCAATAGTAATTCTGAAATACAACTCTAGCAAACCGGAAACTTTCAGTGGTTTTTTTGGGTGAAAAACAAGCCCATGATTTGATACATAACCCAAAGATAGGCATAGAGAACAATTCTCATCCAAGTTCGAGCAATGGCTATGAAGAAATCACGAGTTTTCAAATTTCACCAAAATCTAGGTCGAACATTTTGATCTCTTAGATACTTAAGAACAATATTTATCAAATCAGACCTATCTCGATTGATGTATGATTGAAGAAAACTACTGAAACAGAGGGGTTGAACTCCCCCACCCCCCCCCCCTCCCCTCCCCTCCCTCTCTCCCCAACCCTTTTTTCGTTCTATTTAAAAAAAAGTGCCTGAATCATCATAAGTTCACCAAGTCTTTGGCATACTTGGGGCGAGTTACCCCCTTGAGTAGGGGGACCACAACCTCAAAATGATGCCAAGCCAGATTGATTCGGCTGAGTCTGAGGGGACACAGCCAAGATTTCTAATGTTGTACAGTTCTAAAGGGAATAAATCAAAAATAAAATATATCAAATCGAAAAACTTTTTATTTCAATTTCTCTAGCAAAACTCATACATCTTTGCAGCAACTTCTCAATTTGATTTTGAGCTCACAGTGGAGGGATTTTCAAGCGAACAATACTGGCCACTGGCAGCAAAGCTTGGATACAGCCACAAGATGCATAACATCATTGCATTCAATAAGTAGGATTAAGTCTGGTTTGCTTTTTTATGCCATTGTGTTAGGTACTTGAACATTTGCTTTTTGGTGACCAATCTCTTAGTATTTGACCATATGCTATGGTTGCTACTTGCTAATTTCTTTTAATAGTGTCATTCTATGTGTAGTTTCTTACCTAAGTACATGATATCATTGACATATTGTTTGTTTTTGTAGAATTTGATAAATGGATAGGATCAGATCATCTTATTTCGCATGAAACTATATTAGTTAATAGAATTATAAAAATATTATGTTGCTCTATCAACAAATCACAGTGTATATATTAAAGACAAAATAATAAATTAAAACGCCTACTATCATATCAATCACATATTCATTTTATTCTTTGTATCCTATAATTTTTATAATTTAACACCAGAATATTTATACTTAATGTCCGTAAGAAAGGATGCAACCACATTAGGCACATGGCACAACCCCTCTAGTGCCATACGCCGCATCCCACATTTAATAACCTTGTACCTATAAATTTTCCACCCCTTGTCCTCATCTTTGAGGGATTGATCAATCTAGACAAGATCCTTGCTTCAAACCACTCTAAAAGACACCAGTGATACAACCCAACAATTTGTTTCATGTGTTAGAAACAATGTTGAAAAGAGCGAGTCAGGCTGAATAGTCAGTCATGGCCCGAGCCAATTACTCGGCCGATTAATGCCAAGCTGTATACTTAAAAAAAAATGGGGGGAAAATCCCAAAAAAAATTATAAGAAAATTAAAAATTGTTTAAATTTTATATGTATTGTTTAGTTATATTATCACACAAAATAAGTGAAACAAAAAAATATTATAGGTATAATTGGGTTCCGGACAATTTTTAGGCATCTGAAGCAATACTTTTTCAGTGAACTAGTAATTGAAGTAGATGACATATTACACAATAGTCAAAAACACTGCTCAAAAGTAGTAAGATTGATGATGGAGTTCGAGATTTTCTTGAGTTTCGCTATTAGGGTTGACAAGGGCAAAAATAGTCGTGAAGTCTGGAGGAGTCTGTAGGGCAGCAGCAAGAGAGGGAAACCAAGCGAGAAAATAGAGAGGAAAATAGAGAGAGAGAGACCAAGAGAAAGAGAGGGAGAGCAAGAGACCGAGAGAGGGAAACCGAGAGAGAGAGAGAGAACGAAATTGAGAGAGAGAGGGAGGGAGGAAGAGAGAGAGGGAGAAAGAGTGGTAGGGGAGAGAGAGTTGTGGGGCCAAGCCCCTGCCCAAAAGAAAGAGAGAGGTTGGGGCTATGTGCCGCAACCCAAGAGAGAGAGTGGTTGGGGCAAGCCGCAGCCCCAGCCCCAACAGAGAGAGAGAGAGAGAGGTTGAGGCAGGCCCCTACTCCAATAGAGAAAGAGAGCGAGGTTGGGGCAGGTCCCCCTCCCCAACAGAGAGAGAGAGAGAGTGGTTGGAGCAGGCCCTCACTCCAACAGAGACAGAGAGGTTAGGGCACCTTGTCCCAACCTAGGCGAGAGAGAGAGGGAGAGAGAGGTTGGGGCATGTAGCCCCAACCCAAGAGGGGGAGAGAGAGAGAGGTTGGGGCACCTTGCCCCAACCAACATAGAGAGAGAGACTCACTGTGTGGGAGAAAGAGAGAGAGAGAGAGAGAGAGAGAGAGAGAGAGAAGACTA